GCTGTCAAAGTCTGTTTTATGTATTTTGGAGCCCTGTCGTTGTGTGTGTATATTTTTATTACGGTTATGTCCTTCTGTTGGATTGATCATTATATAATGTCCTTCCTTTTATAGTGAGTTTTGCCTTAAAGTCTATTTTATCAGAGATTAATTTTACCACTCCTCTTTTCTGGTTATTGTTTGGTTGATATGTTTTTTTCCATCTTTTGAGTTTAAGTTTATGTCTTTGTGTCTAAGGTGCGTCTCTTGTAGACAGCATATTTATGGATTGTGTTTTTTATCCATTCTGTCACTTTCTGTCTCTTTACTGGTTCAGTTAAGCCGTTTACATTCAGTATGATTGATAGGTACGAGTTTACTGCTGTCATTTTGTGGTACTTTTTTTGTGGTGTTGACGGTTTCTGTGTTCTGCTTAATTTTCGGTGCTGAGTTCTTTTTGTTTCTGGATTTTCTTTTCATTTCTTTCATTGTTGTTGATTTTGTGTTTACTGAGTCTTTATGTTTTTCTTTTTTCTTTTGACGAGTAGGTTTGTTAACTTTCTTTGTGATTGCCCTGAAATTTGCCTTTATTTTTCTGAGTTTAAATTGGTCTTTTATTTCTTGACATTGCCTTGACTTCTTCTCCATATGAAAGTTCTATAGCTACACTGTTTATTCCCTTTTTTGTTTTCATGTTGTTGTCATTTATCCATTGATACCTCTGGTTCCCTGTTTTCAGTCTTTCAGGTTTTTTTTTAAATTGTACTTTAGGTAAAGGTTTACAGAACAAATAGTTTCTCATTGAACAGTCAGTACACATATTGTTTTATGACATTAGTTAACAATCCCACAACGTGTCAACCCTCTCCCTTCTCGACCTTTTTTTTTTTTTTAATTTGGTGAAAATATACATAGCCAAAGATACACCATTTCAAAAATTCCTACATGTACAATTCAGTGACATCGATTATGTTCTTCCAGTTGTGCTGCTATTCTCACTTTAGATGAAGGTTTATAGAACAAAATAGTTTTTCATTAAAAAGTTAGTACACATGTTGCCCTGTGACAATGGTTAACAACCCCACTACAGGTCAACACTGTCCTTACTCAACCTTGGGTTCCCTATCACCAGCTTTCCTGTCCCCTTCTGCCTTCTAGTCCTTGTCCCTGGACTCCTGTGCCTCATTAGTCCCATTTTGTTTTATGGGGCTGTCCAATCCCCGGCTGAACGGTGAACCTCGGAAGTGACTTCACCACTGAGCTAAAAGGGTGTCTGGGGGCCATATTCTCGGGGTTTCTCCAGTCTCTTTCAGGCCAGTAAGTCTAGTCTTTTTTGTGTGTGTTAGAATTTTGTTCTATATCCTTCTTCAGCTCTGTCCAGAACCCTCTATTGTGATCCCGGTCAGAGCAGTCTGTCGTGGTATCTGGGCACCATCTAGCTGTACTGGACTCAGTCCCGTGGAGGCCTTGGTAGATGTGGTCCATTAATCCTTTGGACTAATCTTTTCCTTGTGTTCTGTTCTGTTCATTCTCCGTTGCTCCTGAAGAAGTGAGACCAGTGGAGTATCTTAGATGGCTGCTCATAGGCTTTTAAGACCTCAGATGCTACTCACCAAGGTAGAATGTAGAACATTGTCTTTATAAACTGTGTTATGCCAATTGAGCTAGATGTTCCCCGAGACCATGGTCCCCACAGGCTCCGCCCAGCAGTTCAGTCCCTCAGGGAGTTTGGATGTGTCTTTGGAGCTTCCATGACTTTTCCTTGTACAAGTTGTGCTGGTTTCCCCAGTATTGTGTACTGTCTCAGCCTTCACCAAAGATACCACTTATCTATTGTCTGTTTAGCATTCCCCCCCACCCTCCCATCCCTTGTAACCAACAAAGATTGTTACTTTTTGTGTAAACTTTTTCATGAATTTTTACAATAGAGGTCTCATACAGTATTTGTCTTTTTGTGATTGACTTATTTCACTTAGCATAATGTTCTCCAGTTTCATCCATGTATGTGTCACAGATTCATCATTGTTCTTTATCGTTGCATAGTACTCCATTGTGTGTATGTGCCATAGTTTATCCGTTCATCTGTTGATGGGCATCTAGGTAGGTTTGTTTTATTTTTGAGAATTCTTTATCTAAGTTGATACCTGGCTGATGCTGTCCTGTATCCTAATCTCAGGTTGTTGTCTGATGTTGATTCTCTATCTGAAAGACTCCCTTTAATATTTTTTTGTAAGTTTGGTCTGTTTTTTACAAATTCTCTTAATTTCTGTTTATCTGGAAATGTCCTAATTTCACCATTGTATTTGAGAGATAGTTTTACTGGATATATAATTCTTGGTTGGCAGTTTTTTTCTTTCAAGGTTTCATGTATGTCATCCCATTGCCTTCTTGCCTGTATGGTTTCTGCTGAGTAATCAGATCTTACTTATTCTATTGGCTCTCCTTTCCGGTGACTTTTCACTTTTCCCAAGCTTCTCCCGGTATTCTTTCTTTGTCTTTGGTTTTGGCAAGTTTGATTATGATATGTCTTGGTGACTTTCTTTTGAGGTCTATCTTGTGTGGAGTTCATTGAGCTTCTTGGATGGATATCGTCTCATCTTTCCTGATACCAGGTAAGTTTTCTGCCAGAAAATCTTCAACAATTCTCTCTGTTTTCCATTGCCTCTGTCTGTTTTGAAACTTCAGTCGTGCACAGATTTTTCCTCTTGATATTGTCCCACATAATTCTTAGGCTTTCTTCATTCTTTTTTCTGATCTTTTCTCGAATTGGTGTCAGGGTATTTGTCTTCAGTTTCGCTGATTCTTTCTTCTATTATTTGAATTCTGCTCCTAGTTCCTTCTGTTGAGTTCTCTATTTCTGAAATTTTCTTATTAATATTTTGGATTTCTAGTTGCTGTTTTTGTACAGTTTCTGATTGTCTGTTTCGTAGTTTTGTTCTTATATTGTTTTCCTGAATTTTTCTGTTGCTTTGTCTGTGTTTTCCTTGGTTTTGACTGTATTTTCCATCTCTCTCTTGATCTCTTGGTGAGCCCTGTATAATAGTCTTTTGAATTCCTTATCAAGTAGTTCCACTGCCATTTCTTCCTCCAGAAGGTTTTCTGGTTCTTTATTTTGGTCACTTGCTAGAGCCATGTTGTCCTGCTTCTTTATTTGATTTGATATTGTCTGTTGTCTCCGAGGCATCAAGAAGTTACTATATTTTATTAATGTATTCTATGTTTGCTTGCTACGTCCTGACTTTTTGTTTTGTTTTGATATATCTAAGTAGGCTGGGCTTGAGTGCTACTCTGGTCACTAATCTGGCCTCATTGAAGCTCTTACCTCTTGTCTCCAGGTGGGTGGTGCAGTGACTGGGTGCATGAGTGCAGGTCTCTGTTGGCTGGGCTTGTGGGGCTGCTGAGGATATAGGTGACATTGCTGATGAGGTGATGTATGTGTCCGGCTGGTCACCTTGCTGTGGGTCAGAGGACATTCTCCATGGTTGCTGGGTTGAGTGTTGTGTGTACCGTCTACCAATTGCTGGGTGGTCTGGACCGGGGTACCTGGGTTGTCAGTCACCAGGTGAGTGGTGCGGAAACTCTCAGCAGTGGTCCCCACCAGGTAGAGCTGTGCAGGGGTGTTCGGAGCAAGCCCAAGCCTCTGGTTACGTTGAGTGGGGGAGGGGGCAAGGCGGGGAGGATGTTGCCTGTCCATAGGTACTTAGTTGGAGGGCATACCACTGTTCACTAGAGTGCATCGTGAAGGAGGTTATACAGCCAGTCCTCGGTCCCCTGGCACGAGTGGCTGGTGGGAGTAGGAGGAACCTCTGGGCCCTGGTGCAAGTGGCTGGAAGGAGTGAGAGACTCCACCAGCCCTATAGGAGGCATTGCAGGACCATGGGCCTCCAGCGTGAGTGGCTGGAGGTAGAGGTAGGAGTCTCTGCCAGCCCTGTAGGAGGCACTGCAGGACTGTAGGTCCCCCAGCATGAGTGGCTAGAGGGGGTAGGAGTCTCTGCTGGCCCTGTAGGAGGTACTGCAGGACTTGTGGGCCCCTGGCATGAGTGGCTGGAGGCAGTGGGAGGCTCTGCCAGCCCTGTAGGGGCACTGCAGGACTGTGGGCCCCTGGCGTGAGTGGCTGGGTGGGTAGTAGTCTCTGCCACCCCTAGTAGTCTCTGCCAGCCCGGTAGGGGCACTGCAGGACTGTGGGCCCCCGGCGTGAGTGGCTGGAGGGGTAGGAGTCTCTGCCAGCCCTATTGGGGCACTGCAGGACTGGGCCCCTGGCGTGAGTGGCTGAGCAAAGGGGCAGGTGCTTTCAGTCTGTAGGCTCCTGGCCTAAGGGGTAGGACAGTGGTAGCTACCGCTGGACTCTGATTGTGGGCAGGGAGCGGGATGGGTGAGGAGGGTAGAGGCATCCCCAGGCCAGAGAGCCTCTGGAACAGTGGGGCTGTGGTGGTCGTGGTGGGTGGGTGCGTGCACTTAACTTTCACAGGGCAGGAGCACTCCTGCCTGGCTCTGGACATGAGTGCAGAGTTGCTCCCACTTGGCTGTACCAGGCCATGGGGGTTTTGGCTGGGAGCGCTGCTTGTTTCGTCTCAATATGGCTGCACGTGCAGGTTCAGCTAGCAGGGCACAGGTGATCCGTAGTTCTCTGTGTCTGCTGTTTTTAGACTCTCTCTCCTTTCACTTGGCACTTGGTCCAATTCTTCAGCCTTGTCTTGTTGTCTAGGCTTCAGAAGTTGTCATCTGTATCTGATTCACTTGTTTTCTCCGGTCTTGTTGTAAGAGGGATGTTACAAAGTGTGTAACTACTCTTCCGTCTTGGACTGCCTGTGTGGGGAAAGATTTTGATGGACAGTGAACATTCTCCCACCAGGAGGCTTCTGGAGGTGCTGCTTTCTTGTATTCCCTAAATGAAATAATTCAAGTTGTGAAAATAGTGCTGTTGGAATAGGTTAGTTATAAGAAAAATACCCATGCAGATGTGGTTTTTAAATGCAACTTTTCAAACGAATAGTTTGTGAATAAAATATATGTGTTTTCAGGCTATTGCACATTATGAACAATCTGCTGATTATTACAAAGGAGAAGAATCCAACAGGCAAGTATGTTTTCCTCACTGTACTTAGCAGGATTGTATTATGTGTGATAAAAGACAAATCTTTATTACGCTTTATGTAATGTATATAGTGTTCGTTCCAAACGAAGGGTATTGGGGCTCATGCTCACATCTTTGTTTTTCCACTGGATTGTTCTTTACCTGTGGTTCTTGATTTCAGCTCTGCTAACAAGTGTCTGCTGAAGGTAGCAGCTTATGCTGCCCAGCTTGAGCAGTACCAGAAAGCCATTGAGATCTATGAGCAGGTGAGTCATTTCAGATAGAACCCATTCTGAGTAATTTTATTTAAATTAAGAGTTTTTGTTTATTTTTTATTTTTATTGAAACATATTCACGTCATACAGTTCACTCTTTTAAACAGTACATGTCAGTGGTTCTTAGTGTACAGTCTTCTCTCGGTATCCTCAGGGGACTGGTTCCAGGACCAGCCATGGATACCAAAATCCATGGATGCTTAAGTCCATTATATAAAATGGCATAGTATTTGCATATAACCTAGGCACATCCTGCTGTATACTTTAAATCGTCTCTAGATTACTTGTAATACCTAATACAATGTAAATGCTATGTAAATAGTTGTTATACTGTATTGTATAGGGAATAATGACAAGGAAAAAAAATCTTGTTTTTTATTCCTCTGAATATTTTTGAACCATGGTTGGTTGAACCCACGAATGCAGAGCCCGTGAATACAGAGGGCCAGCTGTATTCTCCAAGTTGTGTAACCATCACCGGTATCTAATTCCAGAACATTTTCATCACTCCGTAAAGAAACCCCATACTTATATGCTGTTAATCCCCATAGTTCCTTTCCTTTAATGCCAGACAACCACTAATCTACCTTGTCTGTAAAGATTTGCTTATTCTGGACCCTTCATATAGATGGAATCAAGCAATATATGGTCTTTTGTTACTGGTTTATTTCACTTAGCATAGTGTTTTCAAGATTCATCTGTATCGTAGCTTGTATCAGTGCCTCATTCCTTTTTATGGCTTAATAATAGTTTACAATTTGTTTAATCCGTTCATCAACTGATGGACATTTGGGTTGTTTCCACTTTTTGGCTATTATGAATAATGCCATTTGAGCATTTTTGTACAAGTTTTTGTGTTGGGTGTATGTTTTCCGTTCTCCTGGTTATATACTTAGGAGTGGAACTGCTGGGTCACATGGTAAGCCCACGTTTAACTTTTTGAGGAACCACCAAACTGTTTTCCAAACTGGCTGTACCATTCTAACCAGCAGTGTATGGAGGGTTCCTTGCCAACACTTGTTACTCTTCGTTGGTTTTTTATTATAGCCATCCTAGTAGGTATGAAGTATTATCTCATTGTGGTTTTGACTTGCATTTTCCTATGATGTTGAGCATTTTTTCACGGGCTTACTGGCCCTTTGTATATCTTCAGTGAGGAACTGTCTATTCAAATTATTTGCCCATTTTTAAATTGGGTTATTAGTCTTTTTATTATTGAATTGTAAGAGTTCTTTACATATTCTGGATACTAGTCCCTTATCCAATATCTGATTTGCATGTATTTCGTCTCATTCTCATTTGTCTTTCACTTTCTTGATAGTGTCCTTTGAAATACAAGTTTTTTTTTCTCATATGTGTGTATATATATATATTGTACTTCACATGAAGGTTTACAAAACAAATAGTTTCTTATTAAATAGTCAGTACACGTATGGTTTTATGACATTGGTTAACAACCCCACGACATGTCAACACTCTCCCTTTTCGACCTTGGAGGACCCTTCTTTTTTTTTGGTGAAAATATACATAGCCAAAGTTACACCATTTCTCAAAAGTTTCTACATGTACAATTTAGTGACATTAATTACATTCTTCCAGTTTTGCTGCTATTCTCACTATCCTTTTCCAAATTATTCCATCACCATTATCTTCAACTCACTGCCCCCTAGGCTTCCCATCAAACCTTTTGAGTTGCTGTTGTCAATTTGATCTCACATAGATAAATTTTTTTTTTTTTTTTTTGTACCTTAGGTGAAGGTTTGCAGAATAGTTTCTCATTAAATAGTGGGTACACATATTGCCCTATGATAATGGTTAACAACCCCACGACATGTCAACACTGTCCCTTCTCAACCTTGGGTTCCCTGTCACCAGCTTTCTTGTCCCTGGACTACTGTGCCTCATTAGTCCTGTTTTGTTATATGAGGCTGTCCAGTCCCTGGCTGAACGGTGAACTTCGGGAGTGACTTCACCACTGAGCTAAAAGGGTGTCTGGGGGCTGTACTCTTGGGGTTTCTCCAATCTGTCAAATCTAGTCTTTTTTTTGTGACTTAGAATTTTGTTCTACATCCTTTTCCAGCTCTGTCCAGGACCCTCTATTGTGATCCCGGTCAGAGCAGTCTATGGTGGTAGCCGAGCACCATCTAGCTGTACTGGACTCAGTCTGGTAGAGGCCATGGTAGCTGTGGTTCATTAGTCCTTTGGACAGATTTTTTCCTTATATCCTGTTCTCTTCATTTCTTCCTTGCTCCTGAAGGGGTGAGACCAGTGGAGTATCTTAGATGGCTGCTCACAGGCTTTAAAGACCTCAGACACTACTCACCAAGGTAGAATATAGAACATTGTCTTTATAAACTGTGTTATGCCAGTTGAGCTAGATGTTCCCCGAGACCGTGGTCCCCACAGCCCTCCGCCCAGCAATTCAGTCCCTCAGGGAGTTTGGATCTGTCTGTGGAGCTTCTATGACCTTTCCTTGTACAAGTTGTGCTGGCTTCCCCAGTATTGTGTACTGTCTTACCCTTCACCAAAGTTACCACTTATTTGTTGTCTATTTAGATTCCCCCCCACTCCTCCCATCCCTCATAACCAGCAAAGATAGTTTCTTTTTGTGTGTAAACTTTTACATGAGTTTTTACAGTAGAGGTCTCATATAGTATTTGTCCTTTTGAGGTTGACTTATTTCATTCAGCATAATATCCTCCAGTTTCATCCATATTATGAGATATGTCACAGATTCATCATTGTTCTTTATTGTTGCATACTACTCCATTGTGAAACACAAGTTTTTAATTTTGATGAAGTCTAATTTATCTTCTTTCTTTTGTTGTGCTTTTGGTGTCATATCTAAGAAACCACTGCATAGGCTAGGGTCATGAAGATTTATACCTGTGTTTTCTATAAGAGTTTTATTGTTTTAACTCTTACATTCAGGTCTTTTACTCATTTTGAGTTAATTTTTGTATATGAATACTTGTATGGTCCAACTTCTGTTGCATGTGGATATCTAGTGGTCCCAGCACCATTTGTCAAAAAGACTATTCTTTCCTCATTGAACTGTCTTGTCACCCTTGTTGAAAATCAGTTGACCATAGATGTATGGGTTTATTTCTGAACTCTCAATTCTATTCCATTGATTGATGTGTCTAACCTTATGCCAGTTACTATTTTGATTATTGTAGCTTCTTAGTAAGTTTTAAAATCGAGAAGTATGAATCCCCCAACTTTGTCCTTTTTCAAGATTGTTTTGGCTATTCTGGGTCTTTTGCATTTCTATATGAATTTTAGGATCAAATGTCAGTTTCTACAAACAACCCATTTGGGACTTTGATAGGGATTGTATTGAATCTGTAGATCAGTTTGGAGAGTACTGCCATCTTAACAATACAAGTCTTCAATATATGAACACAAGATGCCACTTTGCATTTAACAAATCTTGTGTTTGTTTAGTTAAGTAACTTACTCCTAAGTATTTTAATCTTTCTGATGTTATTGTAAATGTAATTATTTTCTTAATTTCCTCTTCAGGTTGTTCATTGGTAGTGTATAGAAACAAAACTGATTTTTTTTTTTTAAATGGTTTAGGTGAAAATTTACAACGCAAATTAGTTTCTCATTCAAAAACTTGTACACAAATTGTTTTCTGACATTGGTTGCAATCCCTGCAATGTGTCAACACTCTCCCCTTTTCCCTTTCCACCCCGGGTTCCCCATGTCCATTCGTCCAGGTCTCCTGTCCCTTCCTGCCTTCTTGTCTTTGCTTTTGCACAGATGTTTGCTTCTTCTTTTTTTTTTTAGTTGTGCTTTAAGTGAAAGTTTATAGTTCAAGTCAGTTTCTCATACAAAAATTTATATACACATTGCTATGTGACCCTAGCTGCTCTCCCTGTAATGTAACAGCACACTCCTCCTTTCCACCCCGGATTTCCCATGTTCATTCAGCTAGCTCCTGTCCCTTTTTGCCTTCTCATCTCACCTCCGGACAGGAGCTGCCCATTTAGTCTTGTGTATCTACTTGAGCTAAGAGGCACTCTCTTCACGAGTATCATTTTATGTCCTACAGTCCAGTCTAATCTTTGTCTGAAGAGGTGGCTTAGAGAATGGTTGCAGTTCTGGGCTATGGAGAGTCCTGGAACCATGTCTTCTGGGGTCCTTCCAGTCTCAGTCAAACCATTAAGTCTGGTCTTTTTACTAGAATTTGAGTTTTGCACCCCACTTTTCTCCTCCATCAGGAACTCTCTGTTGTGTTCCCTGTCAGGGTGGTCATTGGTGGTAGCCGGGCACCATCTCGTTCTTCTGGTCTCAGGCTGATGGAGTCTCTGGTTTATGTGGCCCTTTCTGTCTCTTGGGCTAATATTTTCCTTGTGTCTTTGATGTTCTTCATTCTGCTTTGCTCCAAGGGGGTTGGGACCAATTGATATATCTTAGATGGCCGCTTGCTAGCTTTTAAGACACCAGATGCCACTCATCAAAGTGAGATGCAGAACATTTTCTTAATAAACTTTGTTATGCCAGTTGACCTAGATGTCCGCCAGACCCCCACCCCTGCTACTCTGTCCCTCGAAGTGTTTGGTTGTATTCAGGAAACTTCTTAGCTCTTGGTTTAGTCCAGTTGTGCTGACTTCCCCTGTATTGTATGTTGTCCTTCTCTTCACCTAAGATAATTCTTATCTACTACCTAGTTAGCGAATACCCATCTCCCTCCTTCCCTACCCTCGTAACCGTCAAAGAATGTTTTCTTCTGAAACACAACTGATTTTTACATATTGATTTTGTATCCTGCAACCTCACTGAACTTATTTATTACCTTTAATAATTTTGTTGTGGATTTCTTAGGATTTTCTTTATATAAGGTTATGTCATCTGCAAATACCAATAGTTTCACTGCTTTCTTTCCAGTCTGGTTGCCTTTTATTTAGTTTTCTTGTCGATTACCCTGACTAGAACCTTCAGTATGTTCAGTAGAAGTAGCAAGAGTGAACATGCTATCTTTC